CGGACACTAACTCGATCGCCATAAACTGCCGTCTATGATTTGATTCCAAAACAAGCGTTTGATAATACAGCAGGTCCAACTTGAAAGAAAGTTGAGCAACCGGGGTGTGGTAATAAGAGAATATATCGGACGAAACAAAAAAAAGCCTCACACATAGCTTGAAATGAACAAACTCAGTAGAATTGGATGCTACAGACGTTCGCCAAATAGGATGGAGAAATTGTGCAGCACTCTGAAGAATCAAATGCGATGGAATGAACCCCAGCAGCAAAAATTCTATCGTACCTTTTGACGAGATGGAGCTGATGAAACGAAATGGATGGTTCGATCGTTCTGAGGCGCCAACCGCCGTCTCTGATTCTGCCGGGAGAGGGGAGAGGCGCTACGTCACCCCCGTCGGCGACGGGAAGTCTGGCCCCGTACGCGTGTAGAGCCCTGATCAATTCGCGCGGCGACCTTGGCAGCCATTTTTGACGTGTTGATTCCCTTGAATGGATTCCCTTGGAATTCTTTCCTTGCGGCACAGCCTTCACTTAGGCCGAATGGAATTGAAATGGTACACTGATTTCCATTGAAATGGTACACTGATTTCCTTGGAATGCCATTGCGGGCTTGTGGCAAACCTCGGCAGTTGGCAGCCCATCCTTAGGAGAGACGTGCCCACCCTTGGCCTTGGGGAGGACGTGCCTCAACTGCCCTTTTTATGTGGCATCCAAAATGAAACATTCCTAGGAATCACTCTCAAAGAGCTGCTGCTGCTGCTGCACAGACTGCGGCTGTGCTGCACTCTGCTTTTACTGTACTAGATAACAAGGAGCTATATTGTTGTTCAGTGCAGCCGATCAGGTGGCGCCTTCAACCAAACAGGGAGGGGCTTGAAGGACTAACAGTTAGCGACCCTAGCTAAGATGCCAAAGTATAGTTGTCGTAAACTTCTCCGACACTGAGATAATAACAAAACTACCAAAATAAATGGACTGTCAGATTAGATGTACGATACTCCCCGCAATGTACAGAGCTTATAGTCATATTAGATGATGGATCAGAGCCTGATATGCCTAGTGCAGCAATACCACAAAACAGGCCAATTTATGCCTCCCACTGGGAAGCTTTGCACCACACATGAGCACTCACAGGTTCATCGTCATGCTCTTGTCTGGGGAGAGAAGCATATGCATGATGCGAGCCCACTGGCCCACTGGGTAACTCAATTTCACCACAAGGCTAGAAATAGGTACCACATGACTATTGATGCACACAGGACATGAACACACAGTAAACTCACAACTCACAAAGAACTAACAAATTTATCAGTGGAATAAACCAGGCAGCAAACAAACAACTCAAAGATCACTAAACCATGTCCTGATCATGATCATATTATCCTCTATTTCTAAAAAGTACCACAACTTCGCATCCCACCTCTCCTATCAACTCCACCATGCTGCCTCTCTCTCTCTCTAATAACCACCATTCACGTGGCATATGAATGCGTAACAATAATACAATATAAGTTAGGTACAGTACTAAAAGCAACATAGGGGTGTTTGGTTCTACCCGGCCAACCAGAGTTCGAATTCCCTCGGTGGCGGATTTGTTGGCCGAAGGAGGCGCAATTTATCTGCACGTTGAAAAAAAATCCCCTCATATGTCACACGCTAAAGCACATGTCTAAGGCCAGCTCATTCTCACGAGAGCTGCGGTGCCACTGTGTATGGATGGGGCAGACGTTCAGGGATTTTCTCGACCTACATGAGAAGGTCTTCTTCTTATGCACAATGTCCGGGGGCTATCTTACACCCCGCGGGTCAAGTTTTTTTATAGTCCCTATCAGATCGAATGTTTGATACTAATTAAGAGTATTAAACGTTGACTAATTATATAAATAAAGACTAATTCTATTAAGACTAATTAATTCTTGAAAAAATCTAAGCCGTCCTTGAGGCAACAGCCACGTATTGAACTTAAATAGAACACCATCAATTGACTCGCCGTCCTTGAATTTTGAAGCGAGAAACAATATATAAAAGCTGATGTGGTATAGTATGAGAGTTCCCATGATAAGGAATTGCATCCCAAGGTCCTCAAAGTTCTGTCCTGCCTTTGGGGCAGAGGCGTTCGACAGTAACCATGACAAGACAGAAGTACAGAACACAAGCAGCTTATTCGCAATAGAGTGCATGGAACCTAGTAAACCATGTTTGAAACAACGATGTGAGATGAACATGCATTTACATATTCACGATTCAAGTGTTTGTATGTTCACTTTAGGTATGTACAAATTGAAGAACAAACCAACAAAAGGTCTGGTGAATTCTACAAAGATTTGCATGAACATCAATTGCTAGGATATCTTACATCTGACCATGTTTTGATGGTTTTGGTATGTTTTTTCTTTTTCTTGTTCTTTTTGGCACAAGAGTGTTCCACTTTTCATTGCAATAAAAAAATAGTTTAGGTGTACCCTTGAATGGTAAGCAAAGGGGAAAGAAGTTAGGGTAAATTAAAATTACCTTCATCCTGTTCACAGCATCTCTGTTTGCTGGAGTATCGATCAGTTGATTGGAGGCATGAATAAGTTGATGTCATCACCATACATAAAATGAAAAGTAGAAAAACGTAGAGGTTGAGAGACAAAACCACAAAAGTTTCTCACCACAGGTGGCGTACTAGGGCCCTGGCTATGCGATTCTCCATTGTTGTCGGGCGATTATCGAGGAGAACATGATGGCTCACCGCTTACTATTGTTTTCAAGATGGGAATGTTGTATTGTTGTCAAAAGAAGCATAAGCTTATCGATGTGATCATTCTTGCTGTCATTGGAATGGATTCGCTCAGCTCCCACTTGATTATTAGTCCCCTGTGCAGCGACAAAAGGGCAACAAGCAATAAAAACCTAGTAATAAGAAGGCTAAAAGTGGCAAAAGGGTCTCAGAAAAGAATTTTTGTTGGTTTTTTTATTTTTTAGGAGAGCAACAGAGTTTGTGTTTTTTTATTTTTTAGGAGAGCAACAAAGTTTGTGTTGACAAATTGGCCTATGCTAATTTTTTAATCGAAATCAAACCATACAAGCATAACCGCAACTCCAAAGACACGGGCACGGGCACAGAACGCGACGAAGCTATCCATCCAGCATCAAATGGATCACCGGGAGGATTGCAGTCGCTTCAAAATTCCAATCAACAAAGGGAAATGCTAGCGCACGAACGTCCGATGGGGATGAATTCCATCGAACGCCCGCCCCCACGCCTGACAAGCCCGCCCCAACGCCTGACCAACCCCCATCCGCGCACCCCGCCCCCATCCCCATCTTTTCGCCCACCCCTACAGGCGCACCCCCGCCCTATCATGCCCCCGACCGCTGGCCCCCAGCACGCCGCACGCCATGTCTGTCGGCCACCTGCTCGTCGCGCCCCATTCCTCGGCGCCCCCTGACTCTCTGAACAACAGGAAACACGTGCAACATGAAACACTTGAATGCAACATACGTCTGAAACAGATGAAACATCTAGAATACACACTAGTGTGAAAACATATTCAACATCCAGATAGAACATTTGCAACTTGCAACATGAAAACACTTGCTGCACCTAACAAAAGACTGAAACAATTGAAACATTTTGGAACATACTGTTGCAACATATGTGTGAAAACATATGCAACATTCAGATCAAAATGCTTGCAACATGTGTCTGGAAACAAATGAAACTGTTTGAACAAACGCTTGTAACATGCCTCTAAAACACTTACAACATGTGCAACATAGGGGAGAGAGAGGCATGGGCTGGTCGATTCTGGCCAAAGGGGTGGGAGCCGGCAATGAGCGGTCACAAGACAAGCACAACTACCACACACCAAGACCAAAGCACCAAGACCAAATGAGCACCAAGCCGAAAGCACCACGACCACCAGTGCCACCGGCACCGGGTTTGGCTCGGCGGCGACGGTGGGGGATGGGGGGTGGGAAGCGCCATGGCTACCTGGGTGGGGGCACCTTGGTTGCTGGGGTTAGAGAGGGCGCCGTCTGGAGTAGGAAGGGCGCCGCGCCAAGGTGGGGTGAGCCGCCCACTCACCTGCAACACCGCTACGCCACCTCCATGGATCTCACTCGTGCTCCATGGATCTCGCAGGGGTAGGGGAGAGGCCACCAGATCTACAGGCATTGGGGGGTCCCGATGAGGACGCCGGGCGTTGGTGCGCTGCAACAGTGGATGAGGAGCGCGGAAGGGCTAAGGATGGGGATGAGGAAGCGAAGGGATTAGTTTTTTTTAATATACACGCAGGCGGGAGCAAGCGGCGGAGGTGAAAAAGCCGTCAAACGTACGGGGATCAAGAATACATACACTGCCCATGTGTTGATTGCAAAATAAAAAGCAGTTTAAGAACATCGAGCAGATATAATTTCACCTGCTAAGTAGGAGTTTCCCGAAAAACTATAAGATTTGAAACAAGCCTGACGAGCATTGTGAGAACTTACGTGAGGAAGTCTCACGTGATACACGGTCCGAGCACAATCCCGACCAACCCTGTCCTAACTGAACATGGCCTTAGGTTGTAGCATGGGCTGAGAGGCCTTTGTGGCTTTTCGGTTGATGGATAATCAGGGGTTTGGAGGTGTCGTCCCCCGTTCTTACTAGCTCTTCTACATGTTTTAAGTAGGTATAGCCTCCAACTACCCCACGGTCACGAAGGCCCATCTCGGATACATGTTTTAAGTAGGTATAAATATATCCTTTTTCTATTTCATTTTTTCTCCTTTTAAAAAATTACAATAAAATATTTTCCTTCTTCTTTTTATTTATTCTAATCATTTTATGTGGTATTTTGTATATACTATACTAATATAAGTAGAGAATATATAGTGCTTGTCTTTGCGCCTGTTGGGCCAGGCCAGCCCACCTGTCCGACTTCGATACCCAGCCCAGAGAGCCCACGTCTGCCCCGTTGACTTCTTGGTAGATGGCATTCCTAGCACCGGGAGCAAAATCGGGGGGAGGGGATGGAAGTGACGAAGGCGGAAGGCGGCGCCGGCGTGCCAGAAGAACGCAGGGAGAACGGAGGACGATTCGATTGGTCCGGATTCTTCAAGGTAAGCACGTACCCCAGCTTGTTGCTGAACACAGATGCCTTATGCCCTTTCATCTGTAGTTCGAGGAAGAAAGAAAATCGAAAAATCTGTCCAGAATTGCCTCGCCGTGTGCCGTCATCCGAAGATTCATGTTTTTCTTTTATTATCTGGCGGGAAGTTGTGGCGTTGGGGATTCATTAGTTTTCGCGCATCTATAGGGGTTTCCAACTCAGCACTTGGGGACTGGGGTCGCCGTTGTGGCCGGGAGCGGCACGGCGGCGGAGGGGCATGCCTCGGTAAGGATGTGCATCGAGAAAGTTAACGGTGCCGGCTCTGGCTGCCCAAACCCAGTAGGCGTTGTCATGAATCGGTCACTGCACGGCTCTGTAAATGAGTGAGTGGGCAGATAATTCAGAGGATCCAAATAAACCACCACAGCCGCTACTCTTCACTGTTACCGCCTGCCGCGATGGCTGTAATAGGTGTGATACTCGGTGTTCCTGCTACCCATGCCGCCATGCCTGTTGCTGTTGTAATCAGCTCCCTCCAGTTTTGTCCTTCCACCAGAACCACCAGCTGCAATGTCACTTCATTCGAGCTCTGCATGCTTGGTGCTAACTTTGGTAGGATTCCTCCGATTGCTGGTTTGATTAACTTGGGCTTCGTTGAGTTCAGTAATGTGCAGCGGAGTGAAGAATGAAGTCAGTGAACTGTACCTGCTGCAGCCAGTTTGGAGCTTGTATGTCACTCAAGAAAAATTGGTTGATTGATATGGTTCTAGAAGAGCCTGAAAATGCTTTACTCTCTGCTTTACTGCTTTGTTCACATTTCAGTTAATAAGTCCAGAGGTATGTGGTGGTAAATCAATTACTTAAGGACATTTGTTAGGGAGAACAAGTAGCAGGGTTAGGGGCAGACTGAGTTTTGTTACTCATGGGATTGTGGAAGCCCAAGTATGTGTGCATTTCAAGCTTTGGTACACAGGGACAGTCGCGAATAGAAATGGAGTAGGAGTTTTGATTGATAAGAGCCTCAAGAATGGTGTGGTGGGAGTGAGAAGGCAAGGGGATAGGATTATCTTAGTCAAGCTTGTCGTTGGTGATATGGTCTTAAACGTAATTAGTGCGTATGCCCCCCAAGTAGGCCTCGACGAGAGTGCTAAGAGACAGTTCTGGGAAGACTTAGATGGCCTGGTTAGAGCTATACCTAGTAGTGAGAAACTTTTTATAGGAGGAGATTTTAATGGGCATGTAGGTACTACAAGCGTAGGTTTCGAGGCAGTTCATGGAGGTCTTGGGTATGGTAGTAGAAATCAGGAGGGGGAGGAAGCTCTGGACTTCGCGGTAGCTTTTGACCCGATGATAGCCAACACTTTCTTTAGAAAGAGAGAATCTCATCTAGTGACCTTCAGTAGCGGACAACACTGTAGCCAGATTGACTTTGTCCTCGCAAGAAGAAAGGACAAACGGGCATGCTTGGATTGCAAGGTGATATCAGGGGAGTGTGTTGTTTCTCAACATAAGCTTTTGGTGGTAGATTTTCGTTTTCAGGTGCGTGCCCGTAGGGATAAACAAGCTAAGATTCAAAGAACAAAGGGGTGAAAACTGAAAGGGGAGACGTCAGAGGTATTCAGGGAAAGGGTTATCAAAGAGGGCTCTTGGAAGGAAGAAGACATAAACAACATGTGGGAGAAGATGGCAACCAACATTCGGAAGGTGGCCTCAGAGGTGTGTGGAGTAACCAAAGGAAGTGGAGGCGAGGCTAAAGATACTTGGTGGTGGAACGAGAAAGTCCAAAGGGCTATTAAGGAGAAGAAAGAATGCTATAGACGTTTGTACCATGATAGGAGTGTGGACACCATAGAGATGTACAAGGTGGCAAAAAAGACTGGAAAGCGAGCTGTAAGTGTGGCAAAGGGTAGAGCGTACGAGGATCTTTACCAACATTTGAGTACGAAGGAAGGAGAGAAGGACATTTATAGGATGGCTAGGGTTCGTGAGAGAAAGACACGGGACTTCAACCAAGTTAAGTGCATTAAGGATGAAAGGGAGCATCTCTTGGTGAAGGAGGATGAGATCCGACATCGATGGCAAGAGTATTTTGATAAATTGTTCAATTGTGAGAATATGGACACAACCTTTCAGTTGGATGACTCTTTTGATGACAACAATAGGCGCTTTGTGCGGAGAATCCAAGAATCTGAGGTCAGAGAGGCGTTGAAAAGGATGAAAGGATGTAAGGCGATGGGACCAGATGGTATCCCAATCGAGGTGTGGAGATGCCTCGGGGACATAGCTATAGTATGGCTAACCGAGCTGTTCAACCATATTTTTCGATCGAACAAGATGCCTGATGGGTGGAGAAGTATATTGGTACCGATCTACAAGAATAAAGGGGATATTCAAAGTTGTACTAATTATCGGGGAATTAAGTTGATGAGCCATACTATGAAGCTATGGGAGAGAGTTATCGAGCATCGCTTGAGAGCAATAACGCGGGTCTCTGTGAACCAATTTGGTTTCATGCCCGAAAGGTCAACCATGGAAGCCATTTTCTTAATAAGACAAGTTATGGAGCGGTATAGGGAGAAGAAGAAGGACCTACACATGGTTTTTATTGACTTGGAGAAGGCTTATGATAAAATACCAATGAATGTTATGTGGTGGGCTTTGAACAAACATAAAGTCCCAACGAAGTACGTCGGGCTCATTAAGGACATGTACAACAATGTTGTGACTAGAGTTCGAACAAGTGATGGAGACACGGATGACTTCCCGATTAGGATAAGACTACATCAAGGGTCAACTTTGAGCCCTTATTTGTTTGCTTTAGTGATGGATGAGGTCACAAGGGACATACAAGGGGACATCCCTTGGTGTATGCTTTTCGCGGACGATGTAGTGCTAGTTGATGAAAGCCGGACAGGAGTGAATCAGAAACTGGAGTTATGGTGGGAGACTTTGGAGTCCAAAGGTTTTAGACTCAGCAGAACTAAAACTGAGTATATGAGATGTGACTTCGGCGCTACTACTCGGGAGGAGGAAGATGTTAGCTTGGAAGGTCAAGTAGTGCCTAGGAAGGATACCTTTCGATATTTAGGATCAATGCTACAGAAGGACGGGGACATTGATGAAGATGTTAGCCATAGAATCAAAGCAGGGTGGATGAAGTGGCGGCAAGCGTCTGGTGTCCTATGTGACAAAAGGGTACCACAGAAGCTAAAAGGCAAGTTTTATAGGAAGGCGATTAGACCTGCTAAGTTGTATGGTGCAGAATGTTGGCATACGAAAAGACGACATGTTCAACAGCTAAGTGTCGCGGAAATGCGTATGTTGCGTTGGATTTGCGGTCATACAAGAAGGGATCGAGTTCGGAATGATGATATACGTGATAGATTAGGGGTAGCGTCAATTGAAGAAAAGCGTGTCCAACACCGGTTGAGATGGTTTGGACATGTGCAACGGAGACCCCCAGAGGCACCGGTGCGTAGTGGAATCCTAAGCCAGGATAGTAACGTGAAGAGAGGCAGAGGAAGACCGAAGTTGACTTGGGTAGAGGCAATAAAAGGAGACTTGAAAGGATGTAATATACCCAAAGACTTAGCCTTAGATAGAAGTGCTTGGAAGATAACTATTCACGTGCCTGAACCTTGATTGCTTCTGATGGGTTTCAACTCTAGCCTACCCCAACTTGTTTGGGACTTAAAGACTTTGTTGTTGTTGTTGTTTGATAGCTTGACTTGTATGACTATTTAATCCAGTTTTGAATTAGCTATGTATCATCTGGTCGAAGTTGCAAATACCGCCCAGTTTCAATCAGAGGCAGAACTTTATTCAGGCCAAAGTGCACCCCCCCCCCCTCTCTCTCCTGCTGCTTGGTTCAAGCTCTCCCACTGGTTCCAATGCTTTTGTTTTTATAAGCTCCTCAACCATTATACTGATAATGCGTAGACTATCTATCCTTCCGAAAATTTCAGTGGGACTCTTTTTGTTACAGTAATATCACTATATGCTAGCGATAGAATTACTGATATGTAATATTCTCCTTTATGATAATTATGGCAAATGCAACTGTAGTGTTACAAAATTCATAACTAACATTTTTTATTTCTGTGGATGTTTTTCAGAATCCTTATGTATTGCTACAAATCGTCTTATATGTCTATCTGTTTTACACAAAATTACCTGGCCTTGATGAGGTGGGTCCACTGATGGTATGGCTCCTGCTTCTTTTGCCAATGTGCGTGTTGAATCTGCTGGGAACCCATAAGCTGAAGGAATTTGCTGATAAACATAAACGTGACAAGCAGACCTAGCAATTTTAGTTTAGTCTTGACACTCTAAGCTTGCTTTATGTGTAAGTGTGGTGTTGTAACACTCGCTATTATGCACGTATGATAAAATATTTAGTTTTTTTTTCTTCTATTTAACTAGTATATGCTGAAGGGCAGGCCTGGTGCAGTGGTGAGAGCTGTCTCACTAAGTCACCAGGTCGCGGGTTCGAAACAGTCTCTCCGCAGATTTTGCGGGGGAAGACTTGCCTCGGTTTTTCCCTTCCCCAGACCCCACTCATGTGGGAGCCTCCAGCACTGGGTCTGCCCTTTTTTTAACTACTAGTATATGCTGACATATGGCACTTGATGAGAATTTTGTGGTGCACTATTGTGGATATGTGCTAAGGGCCATGTTGAAAGAAATGTGTGATCAGCTAAGCCCTAGACTTGCGAAGAAGAAAAGCACAATGGAATAGCATGGGATACTGTTAGTGAATCTGTGAATATGTCTTTGCAAAAACCAAAACCAGGGTCTGGAGCCTTAGTCTTTGAAAAGCACAATGGAATAGCGTTGGGATACTGTTAGTATTCAGGAGAGATGCCACTCAGTGTGTTCGTGTCACCCTGACTAGATGAGACCTGTGTTTGGAGCAGATAGGCCTGACTCCTCCTGAGATATGTGAGAGTTAAATGCATCATAGCCCAACACTAGTTCCATAAATGAATTAATTTTAGCCTTCAGATGATGTTTAATCTCAAATTCTCAAGAATATATTGACAGAAGCCTGGGTCATCTGTTTCACAGGAAACCTGATTCTTTTAATTGGTTGCAAGCTAAGAAAAGAATCGGAAGATGTAATGAAAACATGCAGTCAAATTTGTGCAAATATCAATGCTGGCAATGTGGCTGAGGGAGCAGCAGACTATTCACCTGTGAAGCTTCTTTATTGTGCACCAATCAGTTTTTATGCTTTGCTGTGTTAATACTCAAAATCAGTATTGTATCTGTTGTAGTGATGTAGGTTCAAATTTGTTTGCTAACTAGGTCCCATGTTCGTTGGAACATGGGTGCCATTGCTCATTAAACATCAGATCCAAGTTGGCAACCTTGTACGGCAATACAAA